GGCGTCCTGTGTGTGTGTGTGTGTGTGTGTGTGTGTGTGTGTGTGTGTGTGAGTGTGTGTGTCTGCTGGGGGCCTGTCTCCAGCCACACCGTGGGGGCTTGGAGCAGGCGCCCCCTCTGTGTTGATCTCTCAGGCTCCTGGCCTCCACTGCGTGTTTTTCTCTCCCTTGAGCTGTGGCCAGGGTGGGGTGCTGCCTGCAGGCTGTGCTTCCTTGCTCATGGACCACCGGATCACTGCAGAGACCGGGGGCAGGCCCTGCTGGGTGCTGCCTGTGGGGAACTTTCCTGCTCTGGGATCGACATGGGGTCCCAGCAGCAGGCCCACCTGGAGGCTGCCAACCCTCCGCACTTGCCTGCTCTGGGATCGCCATGGGGTCCCAGCTGGCAACAGGGCTTAGGCGGCACACGGGGATCCCGGCTGGGGCGGGTCTTAGGCGCACGGGGCTTAGGCGGCACACGGGGATCCCGGCTGGGGTGGGGCTTAGGCGCACGGGGCTTAGGCGGCACATGGGGGTCCTGGCTGGGACAGGGCTTGGGTGACCTGATCGCGCCACCTAAGCCCAGCTGCCCAGGGCCGCACACGGGGCCCGGATGGCGTCTGGCGCTGGCCAGCCCTGCCTGCAGTATGCAAATTAGCCGCCATCTTTGATGGCGGTTAATTTTCATATGGCGCTGATTAGCCAATGGGAAGCGTAGCGAAGGTAGGGTCAATTACCCTTTTGTCTTTTATTAGATAGGATTTTCATATAATCAAAATATATTCACAGTAGTATTAAAGGAAGTACTATGTATTTAACAGTTAGTAAATTAATGAAATTATTTTCTCAAGATTAAATCATTGCTTTATGTGTGTGAAGTGGTCAAATTAATCTATAGAACCATATAATCCTGCAGTGTACAAGGTTACTGTAGAGTATTGTCAGAGCTTGGAATTTTATCACCTCCTGTACAGAACTATTGGACCAACAATATTTTAGTTGCCTGCTGTGCTCAGAATATTATTTTAGAAATAAGGAAAGACTGTTCAGAGAGACTATAAATTGCTGTCTTTGTGATTTAAATGAAAAACTAAATTTGCCTCATAAAGATTTCAGAAGTCAATGAAACAATATTACACACATATATAATGTGACAATGAAAATTGTAGGTGAAATTTTGAGGAAAATGAACTGTTGGTGACAAGTTGAACTTACTAGAACAACCTTCCTGTCAGAAAAAGTTTTGATACTGTTTTAAAGGAAGAAATGAGTTGGTCCCCCCCAAAAAAGCTAAGACACGCAGGAAGACTCAGATTTGCCTTGTGCAGGAGACTGGAAACATAGTCTGACTAATGCAAAGGTTATGCTGTCATTAAACTAAGATGATTGACCTCTGATTTGATCTTTAAGTTTATAATAAGAGGCTATTTAGCATGATAAAGACACAGACATGAATCAAAACCCTTTCTCTATTCACTCTAACAGCTTGCTTTTCTGAGCTCTGGTTATGCGTAAGAATGCCAGTCTCATGGTCCGGTTATGAGGCTTAAAGGTGCTAATCTGTCCACAATGCTTGGCACATGATGTGCTCTAAACAAATATTAGTCCTTTTCTCTTTGCTGGTCAAATGCAACACGACGCTTTGTGATCAGGAAAAGTTAAGCTTTATTGTCTCCATTTCAAGATCGCAGGCAGCCCACAATGAAGAAGTTGAGTGTCTGACGAAGTCATCTTTACTTTGGCTGCCCAGCAGTTCTCTTTAACGTGCTCCGGTGGTTTAAAGAAGGATCAGAAGTGGGGCCAAGGTCCAGCAGGACCTTTGGCCTACATTCTTCCTGTACACCACCCGCTGTGCTAGGGGATTTGGGCACAGGAATCGTTCTTCAGAATCGTTCCCAGAAACAGGCACGACAGAGGGGAAATGCTGGGCTGGGAGTGAGTTTACCTGGAAGCAAAAGAGCTTGGGCTTCAGAAACCCTCACCTGCCAAGTCCCTTCTTAGGCATGTACCCGATTTGTGTTTGTAATTTACATTCTTCTCCTTAAAGAGGGCCCTCAAATCAGATAACCTTCTGGCCCCATAAAACCTACATCTGTCAGGTAAAAGAAAAGAAGTCGATACAATTTTTTTTTTGTAATGTATTTATATTGATTTCAGAAAAGAAGGGAGTGGGGGAGAGAGGAAGAAACATCAGTGATGAGAGGGAATCATTGATTGGCTGCCTCCTGCACTCCCCCTATAGGGGATTGAGCCTGCACCCGGGCATGTGCCCTTGGCCGGAATAGAACCCAGGACCCTTCAGTCCGCAGACCAACGCTTTATCCACTGAGCCAAACCGGCTAGGGCTCGATACAATTTTAAAAGGATGGATTGGCCAATAGCAGAAAAAGTAAGTTTTGCCTCTATGGACCAAATAATGAGTTGTTAGTAACCTCTGACCACAGATGCTCATTTGCCCTTAACCACAAGCTAGCCCTTCCCTATCTAGGAAGGCGTCCTCTAGTTCAGCATCTGCCCAAGAATTACCCATGTCAAGAAGTGAGGAAGGGGACCACCTGGCAAACAGGAGGTGTGCTGTTACATTGCCCATGTTACATTTTTCGGTGCATAAAGGGGAATCAGTAGTATATTGTTCTGACTCAGGATGTGACAAACAATGGGTTAAGCACTGTGCATGCATTATCACATGTTAAGTAATATTGAAACTGAGGCTTGGGAGAGGTCAAGTAACTTTTTTTTGTCATTGATCTCAGAGAGGAAGGGAGAGGTAGTGAGAGATAGAAACATCAATGATGAGAATCATTGATTGGCTGCCTCCTGCACACTCCCTATTGGGGGTTGAGCCCACAACCCTGGCATATGCCCTGACCCAGAATCGAACTGTGACCTTCAATTCATAGGTCGACGCTCAACTACTGAGCCATGCTGGCCGGGCTCAGGTAGCTTTTTTATACAGCTAGTGGAGCCAGAATTTAAACAGAGGGCTTCTTAAAATCAAAACCCAGGCTCTTTCAACCTCCCTATGTGGCCGAGGGTTACCTGCTGAGAATCAGCCACTGGGAGAGAATGGACATTTAACCTACAATCCACCTAATGATTTTGAATACCTAACATCCTGTCAGAAACTGAGTGCCCTTTTCTTCCTTGGTTCCTTCACTGATCTTGTATTAAGTGCCTGTAATGTGCTGCCCTGTGCTTAGTTTTTATTTCTTCAAAATTGTCACTGCCCCCTAGAAGCTTTCCAGATGGGTAGGTAGACAGATAGGTAGATAAATAGGCAGGCAGATGATAGATAGATAGATAGATAGATAGATAGATATAGATACTCAAGAAACTTTTACCATTATTATGATTAATATCTTTGGTTATTTTAAAAGCAGCCTCAGAAATCCTTTTAAAATTCATATTGTTTCTTTAAATCAAAGTTTAAAATTTCAGTTATTTAATCACTAAAATAACTGTTTTCAGTTATTTAAACTGAAAACACTGCATGTGATTTGGAATTAGCAACTTCAAAAATTTTATTTTCAAAATCTGTAAAACAGAGTTAGGTTTGAAGTGGATAATTTTTATTATCTGTCAACCTTTTAATTACTCCTTTTACATTAAAGATCTCTTATTGCTGGGTGACTTTATCCATAATCATTGTCCATTTTTGAAAAACATAATCGTAACTGCTACAGAAGCTCAGGGAACTAGACTGTGTATCGAGGAAGGAGAACATTATTTTAAATGAAATATGTAAAGTCAGACTGGCCAAGGCTTAACTGAAATGAGTCAAGCAACCACTGAGGGTTTGGCTCACATGATTGTGATGTTCTCGGTTGCATTAAAATATTCATTGAACACTAGTCCCAAAACAAAGTCATGGGTAGAAACTCTCAATAGTCAAAATGGTATTGGAGACATTTTAAATACATTTCCTAAGTAAAGAACTTTAGATATAATGATTAAAAATATATATATATGATAAGAATAAGTGAGCTATAGTTTGAATGTATTAAGTGCCTACTCTGTAGTGAATGGGAAGACTGCTTTTAGTTGGCCCTGTTTCAATCACATGGAGTTGGACAGTGTTACGAAACCTTTTTAATGAAATACTAAGTTCTCTTTTATGAATGCTCACCTGAGAAACTAATCATGCACATCCTGGAATGAAAGATGGCTCCAATTTATGAGTGTCCCTGAGGATTCTGTCTGTGTCAAGTATCCAATTATATCTCAAAGAGTAAAATCTTGATTATAACATGGCCTCAGGGCTGAAGCAGTGACTACCACGTTGGGTATATGGTGGACTATTCAAGAATAAAAGCCTTGCTGTTTTCCGCACGGGAGGGACGGGATGCGGGGGAGGGAAAAAAAAAGGAATAAAAGCCTTGTTGCATTAAGGGTGAAGTTGTGTTCCATGTAACTTGACTGCAGTAATTGAGGAAAGTGCTTAGTTGCACAAATACAATTCTGTAAACAGTTCTATAAACATATTTGCAAATGATATTATGGTTGGAAACTAAAATGGTATTGTGAATACACTTCTAGCTCCTATCATTTTCTTCCACACAGAGAGCTTTCTGCTTCTTGATGTTTATTCAGAAAAAGTTTTACATAATACGGGCTTTTAAGGAATACTCTTTATCTCCTCCTATTCCCCCAGTCGCCTTGTTGAACACAGCTTACACAACATCCACTTTCCAAGCATTTTAAAATGCCTCCTGACCATTGAGTTGGGTGTATGTCTAGAAAGACATGTGAGCTTTCTTTGAGATGTCTTAGTTTAAACATTAGTCATAACCAGCCAGCAGCGTGAGTACCTGAAATGTTACTGAGCTTTGCACACATGAAGTGTTTGACACAAAGACGATCCTGGAGAACATGATTACAAGCAAATTGAAAGGCTCAGGACTGCTACGTAAGAAAAGTTTATATAGTGGCAAAACTTGTAAGTGTTGTTCTGTAACATTTGCCACATTTACTTGCTGAAAGTTTTAATCGCCTTTCCTTTCCTTTCCCTCTTTTGCGGACACAGATCCACATCCAGAGAACTGAAGGGTGTGATCACATGACCTGTTCACAATGTAACACTAATTTTTGTTATCGATGTGGGGAGAGATACCGCCAGCTCCGTTTCTTTGGAGACCACACATCAAACCTCAGTATATTTGGATGCAAATATCGCTACCTCCCAGAGAGACCTCATCTAAGGAGATTCGTGCGAGGGTCGGTCTGTGGTAAGTACTGGACATGACCTTGAGGCATCTTCCCTGGGAAGTGAGCAGTGATAGCAGAACTCAGAAATGGAGTAGCCACGGTAATGCTGACCACTGCCGGCTATCCTAGTGGGGCCTTTACTCCAAAATAGGGGGGAGATAGTCTCTCTCCCCTTGAGTTTATAATTAAAAGCTTAAGTTGGTTGGCAGGACTGTCTTACATGAGCCACCAGATTTTGTTCAAAATAAAAATTACTAATTTCTCTGCAGAAATGTAAAATTAATTTTTCAATTTCTGTAACCTATTGTGAGGCGCCTATTGAGAGAAACGTCAGATTTATTTTTATATAGATAATACCTAGCAGTGAATCTTATACCTACCCCTCTCTTCGTTCATGGAGGATATGCTATACAGTAAAGAACATCCATATGTTTCAGAGCCCTTAATGGAGTTCCATTGTATCCATATAGTTGATAAGTCACTGTATATCTTTCCTATTGTATTAATAGCTAACAGTTAATGTACTGAGGAGCAAATGCCCTCAGAGCATACAAACCCCAGTTTTTCCTCCTTCTTAATCTTCAACAACACACAATGTCATACACAGACATGCAAACATAAACACAGGTTTTTGCTCTGGCCTGATTCCACCTTCATGTGGGCAGTTCTTCAGACCTCATAGTTGTTTCAATAGCACTGACTCCCCTGGAATGTACCCACTGTGGGATTTCTTCCTCTCTTTTCATCACAAAGAACACCATTATGTCTTCCTGTGGTAGTTTCCCATGTATATGCGACACTTGTTAACATCTTCCACGTTGCCCATTTTCTACCTCCTTTTGCCTAGTTCCTTCATGAAGCTGTTGTAGAGCTCTCTTTAGCTTTCCATCACTGCTATGTAAACCACTCCCCTCTCCAGTATCATATGATGGTTAATCAGACCCAAGCGGGTGCTGATGATACATTCCTATCAAGTAAAAGAGAGAACATATATTTTAGGATTCACTTTAATTTATGAAGACCAGTTGCCATCATTTTCTAAAATCTTGTATAACCTCTATAAAATGTCCTCACTGAAACTCAAACATAATTTACCATAGCCAACATAATTCAATATAGTCAACATTGATTTTAATCATTTTCAATGACTTGATTTGCTTATAATGGTATATGATATAATTATATAACCAATATTTACTTATTAGTTGTAATAGACTTGGGAGGGATACTCAGGGAATCTAACCCCTATTTATAATAGTAATACCAGGAGAAAACTAATCGCAAATTAAGTTTTGAGCTGTAACCTATTTGTAAGTCTATGCATGCAGAGAACAACCTACAAACACAAAATCCTACATTTTTTGCTTTGTTCTTTTCTTTCCTACTTCAGCGCCGTTTTGTGGCACGTAGTTCTTTTCCTTCCATTCACTAGAATCCTCTTCTCAGAGCATACAGGAGTCGAGTTATGTACCAGCCTGTAGAATGCACAGCTCATAGAATTTGTCGGCAGGGAAATCTTTTCTCTGTTCCTTTTCTGTTTTTATTTAAAAATGTTATGGTCAGCTTTCTGTAAATGATTTTCTTTTGGGCCTACTTTCTGTTCTGAGTGTGTGTGTGCGCATGTGTCAGAACAAACCTGCAATGTAGGAGCAGCTGGCCCTAGGATAAGCTCTCCCTCCCACACAGATCTTCCACCTCCAGCACAGCTGCCTCTAACTCCTGTGGACCAAACTCCCCGTGGAGAGGTTCCCACTTCTCCCATCTGCACAAAAGGCAGGAAAAGGGGTTCCTCTGTCAAAGGGGTTACCTTTGCTGCCATATAAGAAGGAAGAAGGATTGACCCTAAGGAAGTCCTCCCACCCGCTGTTCTTATGTGATGTAACCCAGTTTGCTCCCTTGGTTTTGGACCACCGCCTCCAGATGTCCTTGAGCAGAGGCACAGAGGGGCTGCTCTCCTCTCACACCTGGAGTGTGGGAACCATGGTCTACATTGTGTATGGCCACATGAATGAACATACTAAGCTACATGCACAGAAGAGAAACAGAGTCTTTTAAAATATGCAGGCCAAGCCCAGCCAGTGTGGCTCAGTGGTTGAGTGTTGACCCATGCACCAAGAGGTCCTCATTCGATTCCAGGTCAGGGCACATGCCCAGATTGCATGCTCGATCCCCAGTAGTGGGTGTGCCGGAAGCAGCTGATCGATGTTTCTCTGTCATCAATGTTTCTCTCTCTTCCCTTCTCCCTCTCCCTTCCTCTCTTTCTAAAAATAAATAAAATATGCAAACCAATGTAGTCTAACCAGTTTAGCATAGTTTTAAGAATGTACAAAATGTCATTGTTCAATGAGATTTAATATTACTTAATCGGATTCTGTCGTTGGTGAAAACTATAAGTAAAACCCAGGGTGTCGATTGTGTCAGTTGAATGGCAATCTTTTACAATTACATGTTAAACACTGTACTTTTTTCTATCTGTCTGGTCATGATTCCAAATGGTTCCAAAGACCACTTCTTAAGAATAAAAATACTGACATTTTTTTCTGGCTTCATTATGTTTCTATTATTTTTATGTAATTGGATATTCCAAATTACTGTCCTTCATTTGTAGAATAATGTTGCTGCTTTATTTTTAAACAGCTCAGTGATTCTACTGCCGAGCCCTTCCATTCCTTCCTCCTCTCTTCGTGTGTCTGGGCTCTGCATCTACACTGCTATGTCACATGCCTTAGGATGAAGATTATTAAGATTATGACATAACAAGATATTAACTATTAGGCTTTTGTGTGTGTGCTAGTGCCTTTCAAAGTTAGTGGGATTCTGACTGTGAACTCTGCTATGTCTGCATGTACCTGGTGTTTATTATAATCAGTGCTCAATTGTTTATTTAGGGGGAAAAAGGCTGATTGATGCCTTTGGGCATCCTTATCAACGTTTAGACATAGCACTTACTATAGAGTGCTTCCTTTTATAACTTGTTAAGATGATTTACTCGAATAACTTCCAATATATTGTATGTTTATTGGTAGTTTTCTCTAAAATAGTACTGCAATATCCTTTTATAGTTGTTTATTAGGTGTTCATATTGGTTTCTTTGGTCCCGGATGTAAATAAATCACTTTTCCAGAGGAGGGCATGGGCAGAAGTCCTCTACAGCACCTACTAGCTTTCCATTCTGTGAGCTAATTATATTTTTGAGACACAACTTAGATTGTGTCACTCCGTAATCTTTTAGAATCTTGAAAATTGAACATGGAAGAGACCTAAAGAAAAAGTCCTGGGAGAATAAAGTGAGCCAGTAGCTTGGTTTTTTTGCTTATAAAGGATAAATGATTTATGAGATGTTTGACTAATGTGCCCAGGACTGCAGTGAAGTTACTAAACCTACATCTGTATATAATTGTTCTACACCTGATACATTTCCTTAGAGAAACACTGCCTTCATTATCATTAGACTTCCTTTAAAATATAATATACACTGTGGTATTAACAAACATAGCTGAAATGTTTGTTGGGTAACTTTGCTCTAAGACTCTAAATGGTTTTGCCTTTTGTTTTCCAGCTGGAAAATTATTTGTTGCACCTCTAATCCTGGTCCTGGGATTAGCACTAGGGGCCATAGCAGTTGTAATTGGTAAGAAACACTTAACATATCTGAGATTAGAATTCTCTGAGTGCCATAGAGAATGAGTGCAAATGTAATAGTGTGAGTCTGTTATTAAGTGGACATGATGTCTGTTCCATGCTTGCTTTAGATAGGCAATTGATTTACAGATTCAGAGGCTCATATTTCATATAGGATGTATTTGTGTGGCACTTGTTCAGTCTATGGACACCTTGTACCATGTATCTTATGAAGCATCATTAACCCCCTTTGAATAACGATATTCATACAACTAGTATTTTAATGAAAGAGTCCAGTGGCCTAGAACCCAGATTTTTTTAATTCTGAGTTCCGGTTGGATCATCAAAGAAAAGAAGCTCTGGTACACCCTTGGCTGTTTGGTTTGTTCCAGTGAAAGAGTGCCCTGAGTGATAAGAACATAAACCCAACATATACTTGAGCCCTGACCAATAGAAAATGTATCAGCGATTTGTATAGTGTTATGCACAGAAATATATTAAGATATGTTTTTTAAAGCAGTGGTTTCTGAGACTCTAGCTTTGAAACCACCTGGAGAGGAGGGCCGGTTTAAGCACAGGTTGCAGATCCCTCTCCACAGTTTGTGATTCACTGTCCGGGAAGCGCCCATGAGTTTCTAGTTCCAAAAATTTCTCAGGTGATGCCGATGCTGCTGGACCAGAGACCACACGTTCAGAATCATCGCTTCAGAGAACATTAAGTTAAATGCTATAGGTAAAGGCACCTCGGATGATGGTTTCACATACTGGATGGAATTTTTTCCTAAATAAAATAACTTTTCATATGTAAAGTTCTATTTAGCAAGTAATTTGCACATATAGGACAGATGGAATTATAAAGTAACTGACATTTATTACAGTGAGCCAATCTTTACGTAGTAGATACTATTGTTATCTGCATTTTACAGTTGAGGAAATTAAGGCTTCCTGGGCTAATCATAAGTGGTAGAGTTGGGAATGAAACCTGACATTTGGCTCCACAGCCCATGCTGTTAAGTAACACATTATTCTGTCTGAAGTATGAATATCATAGTATGCAAATGGTATAACTAGAGCTAATAAATAAGACTTAAACCTAAGATTTGATATTTTGATAGAAAATGTTGTTCCATTTTCAAACTGGTATCACTGGAGATTGTGAAAGAGGGGAGAGACCTAAAGAAAATGAATAAAGAATGAAATCTTGTACAAGTAAATACATTTTGTGCCATAGGTATCTCTCCTCTTTTCATTTTCACATATTGCTAAATTATGATGATTTGTAAACCATTTTCAAAATGGAAAATTTTCAGCTATGTAAACCGAAATGCCTCTCCTTCTAATGCGCTTACAGTGTTTTGTTTTGTTTTAACCCCTAGGTTTATTTGTATTTCCTATCTATTGCCTTTGTAAAAAACAGAGAAAACGATCACGGACAGGTATGCACTGGTGAAGTACACATCATTTCATCTAACTAAGCTGGTCCGGGTGAGAGCTATCCAGAATGGCACACCCGTCTGAGAGTTGCGTCTTGGAACACAGCGAGAGGACCCATCTGCCATCTCGTGTCTCCGTGGTTCTCTGCAGGTCACGATGCCTCTAGCTCCATTGCACTCCCCACATGGTATCCCGGCCTTTCCTGATATTGATTGCTGCTTTTACAGAATGGTCACTTTCATATACTATAAGCACCTATGTCATAATTCTGACCTTTTTAATGGGTCTTGGAAGAAATTATTTTAAGTAAGAACCAGTTATCCTCAGCACTGTCTGAGCATGCCTCTCCCGAGAGTTGCTTGGACTGTCTTTGTACCTGAACCCTCCTCCAGCCCATCTGTGAGACTGGGTGTGAACAGCCGAAGTCCCACCTGTACCAACAAGCAAGGCCACCTTTCAGCAGGTGAAGGCTCACCATATGCCCCTGTTTTCATCTGTGGCCCAAGCAGTGTAATTCCTTCCTCCTTCAGATGCTGTAATTGTCTAAAAAAAAATCTCAGTGCCCAAAGGGAACGAATGAAACAAAATTAATGAAAAGAATCGTGAGTTACTGAAGTGTATACATGTAGGGGTATGAATGTGTGTGTATAAAGATTTGTATTAAAACTCGGCCCAATGACCTTGTACTGGTCAACTTCCATGCCTCTACACTATTTTCCCACATTTTCATAGATATCTTTAAAGATGATGGTTCCTTTGTGAGCATAATTTGAGAATGTACTGAATTAAAGTCAATTTAGACAACAGGCTATTTCGATTGTTGACCCTTTCTATTTCTTTCTTTTTGTCACACACACACACACACACACACACACACACACACACACACACACAGAGAAATGTGTGCCTTGTCACCCAAGGATTATCAAACTTTATAAACTGACAAAACTGATTGACTGATTTTAGGAAATTCTCAAGACCTGAACATTCAGTCTCAGATTTCTTATATTTTGGCTTACATGTTTCACTATATGAATAAATTTTTTAGGCAGAATTAGTTAATTTAAATAACAGGTTTGCTGTGGAAAACACTGCTTAATCCTTTAAACAGATCCCTATTCTGCTAATTTTTTAAACAACTTGTAATTACAGATAATTTTGCTTTAGGTCAAGGTGTGGCATTATTTACTCCATCCTCTCTTTCTCTCTTTTTAATTTGTTCCAAGTTTTACTAGTATTGAAGGATTTTTTCTTATGTTTACTCTTCCTATGCAGAATAATGTGTTGGTATCTTCTCATGGAGGGGTAATTTTAAAAAAAAAATGTGTTTATGGGTTTATCTAAAATATAAACTGCTTTTGGAGAAGGAAACCCCCCCCCCCCAAAAAAAAATGAAGGAATTATTTTCAGGAAGTTTTACCAAGCTGAAGAGGACAAGTAACTAAATTATGTTATTCCTTTGTTTTCTTCACAAAAGTTCATCAGCAGAAAGGAAGTAAAGACCCCTACGAAGACTAGTTTTCACTTGTTTCCAAATGCTTAAAATTAGTTATCTGCATAGGTATAGCATTAATTTCACAGCAACCTTATGTGAGTTGAAATAGATGATGTGAAAAAACATGCATTAATATGGATAGTGTGTCTTGTTGAACTCCAAGGTATAAGAATATTTATGATTTTTATTTTATCTAAAAGTCCATGGTATTGAAGTTTCTGAATGACACTCAGAATAGCTATACTATAGCTTCTGGACTAGACTATTTCCAGGTAGAGGAGGGTGTGCCGTATGGTTCTGGAATGTCACACTACTAAAGCATAACATGATACCAGAAAAAGCAATGTGCTATATAGTTTCACAAAATCATCTTTCCATTCATTCATTATCCATCCATTCGACAAATATTTATTGAGTGCTTATTCTACATGCTCTAGTATTAAAACTGAGAGAATGAGAATTTCCATCTTAAATCCATGTAATTCTTTCCTAAAGTGCTTAATTTTTGTAAATTTGTCTCTTCCAGACTTAGGTGTTAGTTTGACAATATGTGAATATAATAATTCTAAATCTATTGGATATGGTTATGTGTGATATATATGTATGTATATATACTATTTCCATAGAAACATGTATATATATTATCCATATATTTATGTAGGATATATATGTATACATATATAATATCTCCATAGATGCATATGAATACATATGCCACATACATATATATATACCAACTCGCTAAATAATATACTCTCTGGTCTTAGATAATCTATTTTCTTAGGTGTTGTGTCTGTTGCCTTTGGCCTACTCAGGGATTTTTATTTCTTTGAATAACTATTCTTTGGGAGATATTTTTATATTATTTGGAAACGTTCCAATTTTCCAATTACAAAGTGGTATTTGTTACCAGTGAAGGCTGTGTCATCAATGCTTCAGCAAGCGTGTACTGTGTTGCATAGGATTGTCCTTTTTCTGTAGCATGGATTTTTTTTTAAATGTGTGTGTTTTTCCTCTTTAAAAGTTGTTATAGATGGGGCCTTTCCTTGTTGGTGACTTAAAGTAATTATTTGTGATTTTTTTTTAACTAAGTGGCATTAAGATCTTGGAGAGAAGGAATTAAAAAGGATTATATGTCAGTGCCAACATTGAAGTTAAAACAATAGTAATAACTTTTGGAATGAATTATAAAAACTACTTTGGAGAAAGAGGCGTACACATAAAATATCTTTCTATCCAAAGCTTGTCATTTTTATATGTTTTTATTGTAAATTTAATATATACTTTTTTTTGAAAAAAATCAAATCATACAGAATTATAACATACAAATTTCTCTAATTAACCCACTCCTTATTTTCTAGGGGTAGACACTGTTAGTAATTTGGTATGTGTCCTTCCAGACACTTTCTACAGATATACAAACAATTGTTCGTGTGTGTGTGTGTGTCTGTGTGTATATTAGTTTTATACAGCCAGAATATTAGCATTTTTACTGTCCTGTGACTATTTTCCATTTTATTATATATTGGTAGACACCTTTCCATAAGGGTTTAAATAGAGTTACCTCATTCTTTTGTAAATTACTACATATCCCACTGTGGGGGTATACTTTAATTTATTTAATTAGTCTCCTGTCAATATCAAGATCACTTTTTACTTCTCTAGTACAAAGCATCAGTGAGGGTCCTTTATATAAATTGTTGTCACTTTGTGTTAACATTTCCATAAGTTTTTAAATTTGGCTCCGATAACATATTTGTAATAAAATGTTAATGTATTTTCTGTGAATGAGATCATAGAGATTGTATATTTGAGATCTTTTTCTTGGAGAAAAAAACAATTATATAGAAGTGCATAATTTTAAAAGAAAAGCATCTTTTGCAGGATAGTTTTACTCCTGCTTAATTAGCCAAATAAATATCTTGCCAAAACATATAAAAGAAAATTAATGTTATTCTAATAAAAATAAAATTTAATGAGATGTCTATAAGATATCCAAGGAAGGTACATTGATATTTGGATAGCCTAGTTTTAAGACATGAGGGATTTAAATGAAATAACCAAACCGATCATATTTGTCCCATTTTTTGGTAAACACTATCCATGTCCATGCATGTTGCTGCACAAAGGAACTTAATTATGCCATTGTGAAAAGTAAGAAGCAATATCTTGGCAATTATGAATGGCCACCGTTATCTATAGAAAAATTATTAGATGGTATGCAGGTTTGGTGGTTGGGACGTTTATAACTTGTGGAATAATGTGAAACATTCCTTTTACAGTGAAGCTTAGCAGTTCCCTAAGAACCTCTGCATGTGGACTTACCCAGAGAGCTCAAACCTTTGGTACAAGCAACATCGTGTTGCCACCACCTTGATTTTCTGATAGGTGCTATTGTATCCTGAAGGTGGATCAGACAGGAAAACAATCAAAGGTAATTAAACACCACTTGGGTTATAACCTGATATCTCTAATCGTACTTTCCAGACTGCGGTATCAGGATTCAGTGGTGCCTGTCTGGAGATTCCTTGTCCAGCCACACCCACCATCTCTTGAGTCCCTAAATCCTAATTGAGCCTTTATCTTTCAATCCTACCACCCAAATATATGGCCCATGGCTCCCCTAAAATACCATCAAACCACTGTAATCCCTTCTAGTCCTTGGTGATTTCCCCCCACCCCCACCTCATTTATCTCTTCTCTGATGCTCTAGCTCCTGTTGACTAAAAGACAAGAGGAGAGGCAGGAGGGGGTGGAAACACACTCTGGCATGTGCAGAGCATCAGCATTCCTTCCTGACCTGTGTCAAATTAGAGTACATCTGCCAAGACATCCGTCCAGTTTCCCTTACACAGATGCGATTGTTTTTAGAATTGGACTTTTGTGCTGCCTGTTAAATCCATAATTACTTTTTTAAAAAGTTAGTGGCCTAAATAATACTACTTGGTATACTTCATTAAGGACTTCAAAATTTAAAATCAAATTATGCCAAAAGCCATTTTTAATTTCATAAATAAACTGCACATATGCCTTAATGTGCGTCTCCCTATTGGATTATATGTCTGTCCTGTCATATTTGTGGCTGAAATCTATCCCAGCTACGGAAAGTAATTTTTCCTGTGGTTAGCTTTATTGTTTTGTGTTAATATCATAAATATAGCCTTAAAAGTCATTCATGCACTTTAAACAGTTGTGCCATTTAAGTAATTTGACAGAATGAAAGAAACTGGTAACATTTACTTGATGGAGGCGGTAGAATAACAGTGTTAGCAATTTTGTGTCAGTTCTTTAAATTTGGGGAGCAGTCTGAAGCTGAAAATTTAAAACAAGTAAAATATACCTGAAAAAACTAGCTGAGTTTCTGAAATTATAGCAATCCTGAAAATTGGTCTCAGGAGCGCAAATATAGCAAATAATTAATAAATGCTACCTAATAACCTTGTTGGGATGTTTGTTAAAAATATAAAGTTAATTTCTCCTGCAAGTTTTAACTGCATTTTCGTATTTCATGAAATCTATAAAAGAAAGTCCACTGACGAGATACAAATGAAAACTATCACCAATCGCTAGTTTGAGATTATTTTTGTTTTCCAGATCTTCATAACTTAAGTATGACATTTTCCTCCTCCTATGGAAAATAAGTTCCAAACTCCCATGTTTAATATGTATAACGACAAATATTACTTTAATAAAACAGAAATAGATTGATAGAATCATTAAGATACGGTCCGAACAAAAGCAGAGGCCCAAAAGGTGGGGAGTATTTAATACTGTGAAATGTCTTTTGGGTGCAAACCAATGATGCAGACCTTTAAAAGAGAAAGGCAGCGGAACTCTTTGTAACTGTGGCTTTAAGGATAGAACTGATACTCATTTCATGCTCTTCCATTGTATGCCACTGTGGTGAGGCTGGAGGTGTAGTAGCCATTATCCAAGAGGCAGAGAGGCACAGCAGTGTCAGACCTGTGGCTGTCCATTTGGAGCGTTGGCTGGAGCCTCCACATACCGCACACATAGTGCCAATGTTAGAAGCATGTAATTATGCTTATGACACACTACAAATGACATGAAGGCCAATACATTATTATTTAAAATATATAAAAGATTGCCACTGCTTCCCACCCCCCACCCCCCACCCCCAGTTCCTTTTAGCTTATTAAAGACATTTCATTAGTTGTATTTTAACTCTATATCACCTAGGTTATATTACCATCGAAACTATTTTTTTTCTGGCCTCTCTCACATTTTAGTTACTCTGTTCCACCATTAATGTTAAATGATGTTCTTCCCTACGTGTGAAGTGATACTCTCACACTTCCAACATCGAGTTCCTCTTTTCTTTTTTTTAGATTTCCTGGTTGTCTTGCTTTTTCCCTCTGCAGCTCCCTTCCCATCTTTGCCAAATGTGGGATAAATTCTGTCTCACCGCTAACTCCTCTGACACTAAGGAAATGAAATGCAAACACTGAAAGGACTTCATAATTTGGCAGTGGTAGTGACCATAACTTACTTTGGCTTATTTTATCTGTAAATTAAAATATATCAGAAGTACCTGGGACAGAGTTGGAGAACCCTGCCCAGCCCTCTGACAAGAAATAAAATGAATGAGATGTCAGTTGGATCATAGAGCCTAAAATATTCTACGACCAAGCCTCAGCAATTGCTTCATGAATACTGTAAGGTTAATATTGTGTTTGCATAGTAGTTGAACAGAAAGTGCGTGTAGACATTCATCCAACCTGACAACAACTCATTCATGTTTCATCCAAAATGGCCAAATGTATGGTTTATGGTCTTCGTGTTAGCAAAAAGGTCCTACAGCTTGGATCTGGGGCTGCGTTTATATAGTATAGCATTTGTATATAAGACTCAACAATGAGTTTAGAATTAGAATTTTTGGTAATCTACAGTAGATCACAGTCACTGATATTAGCCCTATTCATGAGAACCATTTGTCATTTGCAAATGTTCACCTTTTTCGTTGGTATGATTTTGATGCAAGCCACACTCAATATATATTTAATATCGGTTTAGTACACGATGTGGGAAAGTTCAAGGGAGAGTCACAGGTATTAAAGGGCCCCAGAAATTGCAAAATTGTGCATTTCACAGATTCTGCCTCGCAGTTGCCAAGCTGTGCTGTCTTTATCGGCTCCCCACAAAGCTGTTAGGTGTTCACCTCATGTCCCAGTTGGGGAAACAGTCTCAATAATCCAGTAAATTCTTAAAAATAACTTTTTAAAATGAACATATACCCCCTGTGTCAAAATACACGTTCACTGTTCCTTTCAAGTAATACTACCTAATATTTGATATAAATATTATGCTTTATGTTCCTTTATAAAGAAAATTCTAAATAAAGTATATGATTTTTTAAATTAGCTGATTACAAGCCCTTTTTCTAAGGCTCGTTTTTTAAAAAGTTCCAAATGGCCATAGTTTACTTTTGATATTTGGTCCTTTTCATTATAATTAAAATTCTATAAATGGTATTAAAAAAAGTAATCAATCTTATAATTCATACGATACCTAGAATGGTAATGGATACATAACTGTATAGATATAGATCTATAAATCCATTTACCTTGACAAGGACAATCTGTTACAGATTTTTCATATAAAAATTAATTGACAATCTTGTTGCTTATGAAAACAATTATTCAGTAGTAGATTTTGAGATCACAGAAACATTTTTATGTAGAAGGAATACAAAAACAGTAGCATTAAATTGTTTTTATGTTAGTACATTATTTATTAAGTTGCCACAACAATTAGTTGTTTTATTTCTATTTTAAACTAAATTGATTATAAGACTCATGAAACAAATATATTTATATGTGTATATACCTACTGCAAAACTGTGGGACAATTAAATTATTCACATTCTCTTTTTTCACAAAGAGTGTAAATTGCTAAAGAGAAAATTGTTTGGATGTTTAATATATTGCTGTATACTCAGAAATTGCAGTTCTAAGGAATAATTGTCATCTCATTTGAATTATCATAATATATCCCATTTTAATTAAATTTCCATGAATAATAGCAAATGAGAAGAATTTTTTAATTGTAAGATGAATGACTTTCATAAGTAGTTTGTACCAGATTTTGTTTGTCATCTCATTATATATTACATATTTTTCATTTTGTGTAAAATTAGTGGTCATTTTCCAAATAATGTCATATTTTTATGTTTAAAATTAGCCTAACTGAAAAGAGATTTTTATTTACTCTTTTCAATGATATTGGAAAATATTTTATTTTATTATTAACTTTTTTTTTACATTTCATTAGTCAAACTATTAACTTAGGTATTCATGAAACTATGTGGAGGAAACCATTATGAATGTATTTTAACAAAGAGGCAGGTAGAAATAAATTTTTAAAATGTATCATGTAGAAATCCTAAAAGAAAATTAGAAAGGAAAAAACAAATGCTGTTGAGATGAAAATGTTGGAAAATAAGGAGTATTTAAGACCTTAATCAACTTCTTAATGCGAAATGATTATTTTGTGCTGTTGGTTTCATGAATTGTGCTTTTAACATATAATTTCCCCCATTTTTGTGTTTATACATTTATTACTGAAAAGAAAGGAAGAAGTTGGTGAATAAAAGCTATGGAAACTGGTCTTATTACCATTTTCCAATAGCACTAATGTATAGTTCCCTATAACCTTTCCTACGGTGCTTTGTGTGATGAGAGTGTATAACATTTATATATGTTATTGGTGCCTTATTTTTTTCACTTGACTTTGTTTCTTACCTAAAGAGCCATATATTTTTTGTGAATGTTCCCTGGTCCCTCTATTTAAAGGCCTTGATGAGACAGTGAACCTTTATGGGTATAGATAGGTTGCATTTGCTATCTTAATCCACTGTGTTATCTCTAGAACAGTGTGTTAGCCAATGTATTTTTCTTAAATTCATTCTTCATTTTTAACCAAGAGTATAAAAAAATATTAAACACCATAAATTGAAATCATTATAATTGAAACATTTTTAAACCAAAAAAAAAAAGAAAGAATGATGATTATTAATGTTTAAAACAGGAGTTGGAATGGTTACCTATAGCTCCTATTAGGACAAAGTTACTTGTCAAAAAGCATTATAAATAAAAGTAAGTATATGGTACTTCAGGAATTTGACCAGTTCTCTACAACTTGTCTTTGGCAACATGTTATCTGTCATTTACTTCCACACACATGCTGAACAAATATGGCGTTCACTATTACATGCAGTTACTCATTCACAGTGGGCTCAATGGACATCAAGACATTGTGTACAATATATTATTTTGCTCTTCTTGGTCTTGCCTTTTGTGTTAGCTCTATATAGAAAGCTAGTTTTGTTGTATTCTTCATGTACCAGAGTATATAATTCAACTTTTCATGATGAATGTATGATGAATAATTAAAATAAATCATGTGCTTAGAAAAGACACAGGCTGTATGTGCAAATATGTGTTAAATATTTGACAGAAAAATAATCTTCCTGCCAACAGATATGTCCTGTTGGACAGGACTTGGAAATTAAATTTTTTTTTAAGCAGTGAAATTTTTAAACCTCTTACCTCAAGGATGGTCGATGAATATGTATTGGTTTACTGCTCCCTCTTAGTAAATGCATTCTCACTTGCTGCTGGCAGCAAAAGCACCCAATGTCAGCTCACACAAATTTTAGGGGCAAGTCTTTCAAAATGGATACCGTGTGATATTTTGGAGTCTACTTTTGGACACTCAAATATCCCTATTGTCTTTTGTGGGGGGAGGTGGGGCCTTTCTATTTTATTGTTTTTGTTGGTTGATTTAGAATGGAAGGGTAATCTTAATTATGACATCTGATCTCATGGAAGGATATAAGGACACTCACTCTACTGGGATGAAAACTGTCATGGGAATCAACTATTTTGAATGTCACTGTCTGAGCTGTTGTATGGGTTCTTGTGGAGTGCTGTGTACTCCCATGATGTGTGCAGCAGCATCCAGCAATGCCTAATAAAAGTTTTTAAGAGAGCAGAATCTTGTCTTTTTTCCAATAGATTTGGAATTTAAATAACTTAAAAGGTACAGTTTGACAGTGCCAAATTATAGGCCTTGAGGACAGTTCTGAGGTCTCTTGCAGCGTCCCTCTGTCTGGTCTCATGAGAAAGTAGCCAGAGGATTGCTCCACCCTAGAGCTCAGGAACTGAAACATAACAGGTCAAGATGTGACCTTTATCCTGCAGACTTCCTGCAGTGGGATCATTATTCAGGTCCTGGCTACTGGCTTCTGCTACCAGGGTTGTTGATTATCCAAAGGGAAAGGCTAGGTCTCTGTGTTGAGAGAGAGAGAAAAACATGATTTCCAGAACTAGGATTGAAGCGAAATAATCAAAGTCATAAGGACCCTCGATTTTAATATCTTCAGTCATTGGATTTAGGGCCCCTCTCATCCAGTATGACCTTGTTATGGGTAAAATTGTGTTCGTCCAAAATGCATATGTTAAAGTCCTAACCCCCAGAAACTTAGCAAGTGACTATTTGGAGATAGGGTCTTTAAAGAGGTAATGAAGGTAAAATGAGGTTATATTGGTGGGTCCTAAACCAATATATTAAAAAAAAAAAATGGAGCCCTGGCTGGTGGACATTTGGTTGGAGTGTCATCCTGTACACCAAAATTTTTGCAGGTTTAATACCCGGTCAGGGTGTTACTGTTGTAACTAGCAAGTTATTAAAATTAATAATAGGAAGGAAGCAAAGGGGAGGCCAGATATTATAAGCATGGTCCTATGGGCAGCTTCACCAGGAAGCTGCAACTTCACACTCCCCAGGAAACCACCAGTCCATTCCCTGCAAATCACTGAGGGGAAAGGAGAAGATGGGCACATGGCAGTGAGGTCAGCGTCACATAGGGAAGGTGCTTACCTGTCAGTCTAACCTGGGAACAAAGATCAAGAGGGTGGACCCCTGTGCAAGCCTGCAACCATTTGGAAATACATAATCCACAGGCAAAGGAATTCTCTCTTTTTCCTCTTGCTTGGCTCCTGCTTCCTTGCACTTGCTTGGTCTGTGGATTTCCTCTAGCCCACCATGAGCTCCTAGAAGCTGTATGGCCCATGGCCATGCAAAACCTACACACAGTGGACTGCAGGTGGGAACACAAGCTACCTTAGCCTGATGCTGGACTTGACTGTGCTTTGATATGGAGCAGAAACTCTGGGCACTGACTTTAATCCTAGCTCTGCTGAGGACAAAATGTGACTTCTTTCATGGCAGGACGTAGGGAGATGGGGCCTGAGAGGATCTCCTGTCATGTTACTTCATCACTAAAGCTTTCCACAACACCTCCTCCTCCCATGAGGCCTCAAATTATTGTTCCTGTGTCACCCCCAAGAAGCCCACTTCCATCAGTAGCAGGTGAGGACACAGAGCACACACCCCCACCAATAACAAGGGCACATACCTAGGTTGTGGGTTCTATCTCTGGTCAGGGAGCATTCGGAAGCAACCATCTTTCCCATCACATAGATGTTTCTCTCTCTCCCTCTCTCTCTAAACAGCCTCAGGTGAGCATTTAAACAAAGATTGGAGCAGCATGATGCCATCCTGTTGCCTCTCCTCCTCTCTCCCTCCTCCTCCTTTCTCTCTCTCTCTCTCTCTCTCTCTCTCTCTCTCTCTCTCTCTCTCTCTCTCTCTCTCTCCCCTGGGACCCTTCAGTCCGCAGGCAGACGCTCTATACACTCAGCCAAACCACTCACGGCTCTTCTCTCTTTTTTTTTCCCCCCTTGAAGAAGGAAACTGGAAAGTCAGAGGGGTTCGAATCTGTACCAAAAGGAGAAATAAAGAACTCTACTTGGACACAGAGCAGTCCAAGTAAGACCCCAGAGGTTTGAAATAGTGTACAAGTTGGGGAAGTATGATGTGTTCCAACCATAAAGTGAAAGAAAGGATGGAAGGAGATGAGGTTGGAGAAAGGGGTCCCAGGCTGTCCTCACATGGAAGCCATTCAAAGCCGCTCTTTCCCACACTCCCTCCTCACTCTCTTTCTCCCTTTCACCAGGTTCACCTACTTGCTTTAAAATAACCCCTCAATTGAAAATTGAAAACAATTCAGGCCTTAGGATTTTCACCTTTATCCTGAGAACAATAGGAAACCATTTGGCAGACTTAATTAAATGCGTGGTCAGAGCAGGTTTTCTTTTTAAGTTATTCTCGTTGCTGCATTGAGAATGGTCTGAGAAGGAATAGACAAGAAAGATGGACAGAGCAGTCAGGTGGTGATAGGAAAGAGAGATCATGGTGAACTGAAGTGGAGGTAGCAATAAGATAGAAGGAGTATTGGACAGGTGTGGAAAGTATTTCTAAGGTAGAATTGATAGGTCTTGCTGATGGGTTGAATGATCTTTTACCCTCTCTGCATCCACCCCCTTGGGCATTTAACTTTGAAGTGTCCTCTGCCTCTGTCTCTGGACTTGACCATGTGCCTAGCTTTGGGTAACAGAATGAAGCAGAAGTGCAAGTATGGTGCTTCTAAGTCTACAACTCGAGAGGTCTTGCCTTGCTCTTTCTTGTGTTTCTGTCATCTCCATGAGGACATTCCTGAGGTAGCCTGCTGGCATGGAACAGATACGTGCCAGAGACTTGAAGTGCCCAGTCAGCCCAGTTGAGACTCGTCTAGAATCTAGGCATTCCATGAGCGAGGTTGGGTGATTTCCCCCTCAACCAGCAGCACAAGAGGCCCTTTCAACACCCAGAAATAGATCTCTCATCGAGCCTCTGTTTATCTCCTCCGACCATAAAAGCAGCTGGCCCTGCAGGAAAGGCTGTGGCTGCAATTAACTCCAGGAGGCCCCAGCCAGACTCCTGAGCAGCAAGAATAAAGACTGCTCAAAGGCCTTTTGGAGTCATGTAGCTAGCTCCTTGCTAGGACCATTCGGTCATCTGAGGAGTCAATCTGTGAACTAAACACACACACACATCACTGCAAAATTCCCGAGGCATTCCGTTATTCTCACAGTTGCTTCCTGGTGACTCTTCATCAAATACCCACTCTACAGATAAATGCTGATGGTGTTTTGTTAAATGGGAAGTATTTAGAAAGGAAGGATGGACGCAATTGTATTCCAGTACTTTGTATTTAAACTAATTTAGCTCAGTATTAGACTAGCAGTAATTATGAAAATAGCAGAATCAGATGTTTTTTAAGGCCACCTCAGGCAATAAGAGGTTGCTGTTAGAACACTCACACATCATTGCTGAACAATAACCAGGTCATTAGGAAACAGCTTCAAACAACTTCATATCTTTGCTAAGAGCCCTTAATAAATGCTCTTCTTGTTGCTTATCTTCTATACAAACGCATTAATGAAGGCCTGGAAAATTGCAATAATTTAACTCACTAGGCATGGGTCCAAGAACAGAACTGAGGAGTATCAAATACAAGCAAATGACCCTCTGAAATCTACTTCCAGGTGGCTCTTGAAACTCAATGTGGTGCTGTTACTCTTCTTTTTTAAAAATACATAGTTTGATTGATTTCAGAGAGGAAGAGAGAAGGAGAGAGAGATTAAAAATCAATGATGAGAGAGAATCATTGATCGGCTGCCTCCTGCATGCCCCACAATGGGGATCGAGCCTGCAACTCAGACATGTATCCTGACCGGGAATTGAACCATTACCTCCTGGTTCACAGGTTGATGCTCAACCGCTGAGCCACACTGGCCAAGCAGGTGCTGTTACTCTTAAATAAACCAAAATGAGGCCCCAAATCTTTAAACCCAAACTTCTTTGAGGCTGAACAAATATGTTTAAAACTATAGGTAGACATTTTTATTATAAAATTCAAGCTTTTTGCATAATACTTTTATTTTATCTAAATTTGTTTAAATCTGGCTACTTTTTCAGGAGACCAGAGAAAGGAACATGGGAGCAGATCTCAAAACTGTCCTTAGCACCTGAAGAAATGATTTACTACCCTTACCTCTCCTCTGCCCAAGCAGTTCCCGGCACAACCCTGAGCCCTCTAGCCCATGGTGCCTTGTGATTTCGCCCTAAGTAATCTGTAACCTAACACTATTGGGGGGTAGGGTTTTTAGCATTAGCTTCCCGTCTCTGGATTGGCCAATTCAATATTAAACTATTTTTTCTTTCTATACTGCACACTCCTACTTGTAGACTTATTTGGGCCATTTTACGTAGGCAGACAGACTCAAAAACAATGGGGTTCTAGTAACACTCCCAAATATTAGAGTGATTCGTATTTTCTCCTGTACTCTTTTTTGTATGTTCTAAATTCTCATTATGTACATGTCTTTCTTTTGTGTTCAAATTCTGTGTTTTTAAAATTAGGAAAATTTAAAGTTATTTCTTTCTAAATAAGCAACTTAGATTAAATATAGTATTACTCATCTGGTTATGATGTATTTGGGTATTTTCTATTAAAGTTTTCAAGACCATTTAAATTTTATATTTGTCTTAATTTATTTGATATGCTGTGTGTTTGAAGTGTTTCTTGTTTTATTTGATTTGAAGTAGCTGGCATCAATATTAAGTTTTTGGTTTCTGGCTATCTGAAAGAAAAGAAAAATACAAAAATACATTGATCAGAAATAGCTGTCTTACCATACTTAAATAGTTCAAACCTAAGCCCAAAATAATATAACCCAATCTATAACCCAGAATGATGATGGCTTAAAACTACCTTCTGAACTCATTATTAATATTTTCTTTTTATTTGTGGATGTGAAAATTAACTTAATTACAATGTTCTATGTTAATATTATGACAACTGTTTCCAATACCGTTTTAAACACTGCATAAGAATTAAATATTTACTTCCAGTATGTGATTATAAGAATTATTTTTTTTGTGAATGTGGTCAGGAGAAATAGATAGGTTACTGAGTAAACGTATATCTATTTGTCTTTTATAATTTGCTGGTGTATAAACCTTAAATAGAAGAAGTCCAAGGCAATTGATTTAATAGACCATTGTATATTCTCCTTTTAATAGGGCCCCTTTAGATTTTATCACATA